TCACAATTAGAAATATAGTAAGGGGAGAAATATAATCTCTAATGTATTTAAAAAACACATAAATAGTACAATTTAATAAAAATTGACTTTACAGTTTTAAGGAAGAGCATAAGTTAACAATTAATATCAGAACTTTTGAAAAAAAGTATGTTTTGGCAATGACTCTACAACTTTCTTGATTTGTTTTAAAAATTCAGAAAATTTGATAATTTCTAGCTATACACATTTCCATGAAGACAATGAGTTCATAATAATAAAAACATGAATTAATAATTATATTTTACAGCAGTTAAACAAAAACTGGAGTTCATTAAATAATTACTAAAATTACTCTTTACATAACATATATAATATAAACATCAATTAAAATTTAAAACTGTAAAAGTTCAGATATTTTTTTAAAAAGAATGATAAATAAAATAAAGATTTAAAATGTTTTGTAATTCTTTAAAAAAAATTATTTATAAACTTAGACGACAGTTCTACACAATTTATTCAATAATTTATGGCAGGCAGAATAATACAACAAGTTTTCTTGCACTTATAAAAAACGAAAGTTCATCTGGAATTTAATGTCGTAGTAGAAATACACTTGTTTCTGCAAATTTAGAATTAGAATAATCAGCCACTAAAAATTGTCACACTCCAAAGGTTAGGAAATTAAACATTATCCGCCATATGTTGTGAAGATCAGTATCAATAAGTAGTAAAATAAAAATGAAATTTGATCAACTACAAATTCCTGTAGTAAATTTAATTACTAACGTGTCACATTAGATAAATAACTATTAACAATGAAATTGAAAATATCTACAGTGAAAGTGATAACCCACATCTTATGAAAAATTTCATTTCCCTACTGTAAATTAATTTATTGAACAAGAGGATTTATCTCGCTGTTTAGTACAATACTCAGTCAAGAGAGGGTAAGGCCATTTATTGGTTCATTTTCATAAGAAGTCTCATATTTATGGAGCAGTTGTGACAGGTAAATCTGTTTATCTCTTAACTAAAAATCATTTTTTACTCCCAAGGTCTTCAATTCAATTACAGATCTGTGAAAAAAAAACAAGAGTAGAATAATGTACCAAAAATATACAGAGATTACAAGGAGAAAAAGAAATTAAAAGGTAATTTTAAACGTTGTTGAAGAAAAAAGTAACTATTTGATGACGGACTGTTTTAACATATCGTTAATTTTTCAATATTTATTTTAGTTAAGTATTAAATTTAAATGCTGGCATTAGTTTTTTTTCGTGTATATTTCACAAAGAAATTACAGAATCATATGTTAGCAGAATTCATTAAAAGTATAGTTAGTTGTAGCTTATGTTATCTTTACCAAATGTTTCAAAACTTCAAATGTTTAAAAATCAATGAGATATAATGATATAAATGTGAAGTTAATAAATTAAAAACACAAAACATAATTTTCCAATTATATTGTTGAGGGATGTCTATGTATATCATGCAGATTGCTTAGAAACACATAAATATATTTAAATTAAAGTTAGATCACTATTTTACTTTAATAATTTATCAGTGCTTCTAATACTTTTTGGAGTTTAAAAGTCATTTTTTATATAATGATTGATAAAGCTTTAGTCATGTTATTAAATTTCTAAGTAATTTCCATAGTTTTTCTTTCAAGCGATTACTATAGACACTGGTCAACAAAAACGAACATTTTATTATTTGCTCTAAACTTTTCAATGTATTTAATTAGTTATTGGATATTAAATTTTTAGATACAAGCTCATTTAAGGCTAACTGGTTCTGTATTAAGTGTGATTCTAAGCAAGGAAGCTTAATTTTACAAAAGTTGATTTTATTAAGCATTCTACATAATACACATAAAATTTGCTATTATTATTCAGGAAAAAATTGATTCATAGAAGGAAAATTAATTTGACCAGTTCACACGGAAACTAGATAGAAAATTACAATGCTATTAAGTGTAAGTGATAGGTCAGTTTAATAAACAATGAATATATTCTGAAAAGTTATTTGAATGATGGATAATAGAACTGCTTTATAAAGTTCACAAATCTGCTCATTTTGAATAAAATTTTTTATTTCTTAAATACTTGTAATTTTTTTTTTAATTTTCTTCAATTTTTATCCAGAAATATCACTATTTAAAATAAAAGCCAAAAAATTTTTAGCACCGTATTTCATGTTAAAAAATCTTTTTTAATAATGTAAACAAATTTACTATAAAAATTTACATGTAATGTCTTTAAAATTTGTTCTAAAGTAGAGTTTTAAGGGAAAGAAATTCTATCAAACATGAAAATCAGATTTTTAAAAAAGTTTTTTTCACAGAGTCATGAACACAGAGTCATAGGTAAAGTTAGCAAATTGTAATTAACTATCAAAATCTAGTTCAAAGGAAAAGAAAAAAGTTTTTTAAATTTAATTACTAAAATATTTTCTAATACGTTAATAAATGAAGTAATAGATAATTAAGCTGACATTTATCTTTTTGACATTATGAAAAATAATCTTTCAACTTATATATATATATATAT